CCAAGGGCTGTACAAAGAACAAAGAAATGCACTGAACATGTGGGAAAAAGATCTTACCAGTAATATAGAAAGATGCCATTAAAGTCCATCTAAAGCCATTTTTTAAGCTTTGGATAGAACTACGAAAGGGTTAAATGTTTGTTTTGTCCGGGGGTACTATCAAAAAAGCTTCATTTTCTCCATGTTTTTAAAGGTTTCCTTCTCTCTGTGCAACCGACCTCCTGAAGCCTCTACTTTGGCACTCCATCTGTTGGTCAGCAGATCTGCATTGAAACCAAGGATGCCGTGGGCCTGCTCACAACCTGGAGTGTAGGAGGGAATAGGAGAGCACTGGCTGCTGGGGGAACATAAAATAAAATAAACAAAACAGTTTTTAATGTTCTCCCAGACAAAAAACAGCATGTAAATTGACACTAAACTCTGGTTTTAAAAAATAAAAATCTATAAAAATATGTATTCTTAACTTAAATGTCTTCTATTGCTCTCAGCCTTCTGCTAATCCTTTTTTCTGCTGCTAGGCTCCCACTTCCTGTTAGGGGGTGGCTACATTTGTCCTCCATGGTCCCACTGTATCATGAAATGTAGCCACCCTCTCTTGCCCGCTTCCGAGATGGGCTAGGGACTAGGAGCTGTAGACAGTGGGATCTGTAGTGGACATAGAACAGTGCTTATGATCATAACTTATCTGCAGTATTTGTTTCAGCCAAATGGAAGTGAGGGGAGCAGGAGAGGTGAAAGAGCTCATGGAGAACATTTCAAGGAGGCATAAAAACACAGTAATAAAGGATTTAATGAAAAATAGATTACAGACCATTAAGTAGTGGATGCGTATGGATTATTTTTGGAGAAAAAGGATATTGTTTAATTTCACTTTAACCTTTGCAATGCAGGGGGGAGCCATACTGCAAGAGTAGTTTTCCTATTTCCACACTGGAAGATTTCCTCTCGCTTCCTGGTCACCAGGACATATAAAGAGACTAATCTCACTAAACTCAGCAATAAAAACCTTGAAAGGGTTCTATGATAATAAAAGCAACCTGTGCGCAATTCTGATATAAACCAATATATAAATAAATGAACAAGTTAATCTACTGCCGCTAAGTCCTCATATGATCACACCACATATCTAAACAGGACAGCGCTACAGACAATAAATGCTGAAAGTCCACATAAACTCTGTAACAAATCCTCAGTACATCAACAATGTTAAAATCCTCCTGAGTCAATGATCAAATGTATCATAATCATAATGTAACATTCAAGTGAAAGTCCCAATAAGTGGGAATAAAAACCTGATGATTAGACCTACTAAACTTCGGTCTAATCGCACTGTTAATCCTATTCTCCCTGGGTTAAGGAGATATCCACCGGATATGGGTCCTCCAAAGTTTTCAATGGAAGGCGGTGCACCTAACAATATGTAATATTATTATAATAGGTCATATGAAGAGAGAAAACTCACATAGTGTATACCCATATAACAGATTTATTGAAATAAATGAAAAGCAAACACTCACAAGAATGGTGCACTACAGATAACAGCGGTTTCAGGGTGATGATCTTTATGATTGCCGCAATTGGTGGAAGCTCCATATGAGAGGACACTGTGCTCCCTCACTTGAAGGGGTTCTAACCTCTCGCCATTGTTCCTGAAAAAAAAATGTTTTTAATAGGGGATAGTTCCCCCTCCCTGTCTCTCATCCTCCCATCTCTATTTCTCTCATTCCTTCCCTCCATTGTTCCAGTACCCCACCAATTCTTCTTTTTCTACTCTACCCATTCTTCTTTGAACCTTTTAATTTATATAATACCTTACCTCAATTCCTCTCCTCTCCTCTGCTATTTTCTTCCCCACGTATATCTTCTTCATTCTTTCCTTCTCCCCAAATTAAATAAAAAAGGTGTGACATGGTATGTACAGTTGTGCTCAAAAATTTACATACCCTGGCAGAAATTGTGAAATTTTGACATTGATATTGAAAATATGACTGATCATGCCAAAAAATGCTCTTTTATTGAAGGATGATGATCATATGAAGCCATTTATTATCAAATAGTTGTTTGGCTTCTTTTTAAATCATAATGACAACAGAAATCACCCAAATGGCCATGATCAAAAGTTTACATACCCTGTTTGGCCTTGGTACAGACACACAAGGTGAGACACAGGGTTAAAATGCCAATTAGAGGTTAATGTCCCACATCTGTGGCTTTTTAAATGGCAATTAGTGTCAGTGTATAAATAGTCAATGAGTTTGTTAGCTCTTACGTGGAAGCACTGACTAGGATAGATACTGAGCCATGGGGATCAGAAAAGAACTGTCAAAAGTCCTGTGTAACAAGGTAATGGAACTTTATAAAGATGGAAAAGGACATAAAAAGATGTCCAAAGTCTTGACTATGCCAATCAGTACTGTTAAATCACCTATTAAGAAATGGAAAGTTCGGGGACCTCTTGATACCAAGCCAAGGTCAGGTAGACCAAGAAAGATTGCAGCCATAACTGACAGAAGAATTGTCTAGGACTGTGTGTGTTTCACTGTAAGCACACTGCTTTGTATGGCTCTGCTATGCAGAGCCATACAACGCAGTGTGCAGGATCTGACAGGGGAGAGATCTGTATTGTTTACATACAGGTCTCTCCCTCGTTGGAAACCCTCGGAGATCGCCAGGTGCTGGCGGGGATTCACCGGTCGAGATCTGGTGATTGAGAGCCGAGGCCGCGAATGGCCCCTACCCGGAACTGCAAAAGCATGTATATATATATATATATATATATATATATATATATATATATATATATATATATCAGGGGCAGACTGACCATTTTGAAACTTGGGCACTGCCGGGGGCCCAGGGTCAGTAGGGGGCCCCATGAGATGCCCCTGGTACCTTTTTTATAGGTTTTTTTGAGTTTAAGCAAGGACACAGGGGCCCCATGATCCCCTATTGCCGGGGGCCCCATGAGTAGTCAGTCTGCCCCTGATATATATACATGATTTTGCGCACCCATGCTGCCCTGTAGCACTATTTCTGCTACAGGGCGACGTGGAAGCAGTTAATACATTAAAGGCAAAAATCAGTAATGGAATTAAAAAAAAAAAACAGGAAAAAAGGTTTGAGAGAGCTACTTAAAACTTGTGGTATCAAAGTGTTATAATTTCTAAGAATAGTATTTCTGTTTTATTTCACAGAATTAATCTGATCACCTTGTGGGGTCAAGAAGGATTTTTTTTCCTACTCTGAGGATCAACAATTGGTCAAAGTTACCCAGGTATTTTTTGCCTTCCTCTGAATTTGATGGATATTTATATATTTTTTTTCATTTTAAAATGGAACACAAGTCTGCTATACCCCCTTCTCTCCAGCGATGCAATGTGCACAAACTCCCTTGCTGGTCCCAACATCTTTGCCTGGTCTTCTTCCGCATCTTTTTCCATGTTGATTGACTAGCCTGAGATGACTCCACTCCTGGCACCAAGGTGTGCTGTGTTGTGCATGCACAGCCCAGTGAACATTCTAAAGAATATAGTTCGGTATCTTCTGTATCTGTAGTAAAACAATTATGGCCATCCCATGTGTCTATGAATTACTTCATCCCTGAGTCCTTCAATGGATGATAAAGAAAATATGATTCTTGTTGATATCAATAAATATTTTTTTAAAGTCCACTTAGGGACACAGGTCCCATTTCCTATATGCCAGTTAGGCATGGGGCCATGGTATGTTGGCCTTCAACTTTTTCGTTTGCCAGTGTCAGCCTTCTGAAGGCAGCAGCAAAACTCATATTTATAAACTACTTTAAGTGTTACTAAACCCACAACAGTAAAATCAGTCTGTATATGCAGCAACGAATGCTTGTTATACTAACTGTGGAACATAATGGGTTTATCCTCCTCATCATGTAAAAGGCTGTTTGATCCTGTCTTCTCTGATTATCTCCTTCTTCCACAGTCCCCAATCCATCTGCTTATCGTGTAGAACCCTAAGAGGCACTCTGCACATGCTAAATGTGTGGTGTGTATTGCTAGACAGTTTTTTTTTTTTTTAGCACAGGGCCAATCAGCGCTGTCCAGACAGAGGGTCAGGGGTCATGCAGCCTCATAGGACAGTGAGAGGAAATGAAAACTCCTCCTACAAGCTTTAACCAGTGCTTGGCCATACACTAATAGAAGTCACAAGAATGCTATATACTACTGATAGTATTTAGCAGTTTATATTTACTAAAATAATTGCATTTCCATGTTCTGTGTACTGTGGAAGGCTGGATATAGTGAATGCAGGGTCCTGGGTTTAGTAACACTTTAATTGTGTCCTTCAATAGACTTCAACCAAAATATTTATGGCAAAAACAAAAATCTTATTTTCCTGCTAACAATTTTTTTCAGGTAAAGTTGAACTTTAAATGACTATGCAATGTAGAGCTGAAACTCCTGACCTGCATACTCATCCCATCAGTAACCCACCAAAGTGGTGAAGGACAGCGTCAAAGCTTGCTATTTTAAAAACAAAATGACATTGGCAGCCTCATTATTTCTGTCCTTACGGAGACTGACAAAACCCCTTTGGGGAGTAAGAACACTAAGGGTCATAATTTTAAAAACAGTGAAGGTAACTTTCATCAAATCAAACATTCGCTTGCAGTGAATCAAACACTGTCATTTAAAAACACATGCACTCGTAAGATTCACTTGCAATGGATGTTTGGTAAATCTTAAGATTCACTACTTATCAAAAAAGAATTCCAGGTATGCTATTTTTTACTTGGTTACATTGGTCTAGCCAGGGGCGGACTGACAACTCATGGGGCCCCCGGGCAATAGGGGATCATGGGGCCCCTGTGTCCTTGCCCAGACTCAAAAAAGTATTTGAAAAAGGTACCAGGGGCATCTTATGGGGCCCCCTACTGACTCCGGGCCCTCGGGCAGTGCCTGAGTTTCTAAATGGTCAGTCCACCCCTGGGTCCAGCTTTGACCAATATAACTACACATACACCATACCTCTGGGATCCCTCTAGAAGCTGGAAATCGATACCGCCACTCTAGTGATCTCCACTAGCTTTGGGATCCCATGCTAAGCGACTGCCATGTTGCATTCTGAACACAGGATGTCAGTCGCTCGACAGGGACAATATTTCGAGATTTGCATATTCTCAGCGAGTGCAAAACATTCTGTGATTAGACGAGGCAGAGAGTGTGACATCACCTCCCCGGTTCTCCAACTCATCCAATCATAGAATGCTTTGCATTCATTGAAAAAAATGCAAAGTATTCTCCAAATGGTGTTTGTGCTGAGTGTCAGACTTCTTTTGTTCACAATTCAGCAGATCAGGCGTTCAACACGGGACCTGGAAGCTAGTAGAGATCACTGAAGTAACTATGTAAAAAATGACATACCTGGAATACTGAAATAATGTCCCTAAGGTTCAACAAATACTAATGTTACCTATATGCATGGATAAGGACAGAATACTTTCCTTGTTCTGTTCTTGGGCTGTAATTCTGTATAAATCTTTTTTACAGTATATGTTAAAGCACAAATAAACATTACTATTGTTTTTATGTGGTTATCATAGCAGTATTCAATAAAAAAAATGCACATTGTTATTATAGTCTTTAAGTGTAACTGCAGCGCAAACTTTTTTCTTTTTTTTTTAGTTTTGGATATTATTGCTGTCAGAGGTCTCATTAGGTAGGTTTCCTCTCACTTTTTATTCCAGTGACAACATTATCCCCAAAAATGAAGTGAGAGAAAATCTCTTTTACAAAAATGTTTATTAGAGTTTTAGCAGCACAGAATAACAATGCAAAAATTTCCAATGTAGAGAGCAATAAAGAGCATATAAAAAGGCCAAAAGCCACATGAGCTAATCAAAACAGGAGAGTCACCACCAGCATACCAGCAAACAGAATGAATACCAATGGGCTGGGGGGATGCATTTAAGAAAAAAACAGCCCTACCGTGTGGGGGTCTGCTCCACCCAGGGGCGGACTGACCATTCGAGCACTCGGGCACTGCCCAAGGGCCCTGGGGGTCAGTAGGGGGCCCCATGAAATGCCCCTGGTACCTTTTTTATAGGCTTTTTTGAGTGTGAGCAAGGACACAGGGGCCCCATGAGCCCCTATTGCCCGGGGGCCCCATGAGTCGTCAGTCCTCCCCTGGCTCCACTTGTTGAACAGATACAATCCACACCTAGGGTGGAGGGGAACACAAAGAGCAATTAAAAGCTGACAGGGTTTCTAGACACTCTAGACTACTACTCTAATATACATTTTAGTGTTTTTCAGTTTGTGTCCCTGTTGAAGAATTCCTCTGACTTTCTGTCCTGGTGACAACCTAAGGGGTTAATCCTCTGCATTGTGTAAAAAGGATGTTTTATCCTGTTTTCTCTGCCCCTCCTCTTGTTCAAATGTCCATGTCTTATCTCCTGATAAGACAGATTAAGCCCGTAGCCACATGGACATGCTCAGTTTGGTGTATTGCTAGAGAGTGTCTTTTTTTCTTGGGAGAATGCATGTAATCAGCACAGGGCCAATCAGCACTGTCTAGACAGAGGTCAGGGGTTTTGCATCCTCCTAGAGCAGAAAGAAAACTCCTACAAGCTTTAACCAGTGCTCTGCTGAAGTCACAAGACTGCTCTAACTGCTGATGAGGAAAGGTAATTAGCAGTTTATATTTAATAAAATAATTGTACTTCCATGTTGTGTGTACTGTGGGAGATCAGATATAGTGAATGCAGGGTCCTGGATTTAGTAACACTTTAAATGCTCATTTACACAGGCACAGAGGTCCACAAAGGTGTTTAGTTATGTGGCCAAGAGAAAGACAGGTGTTGCATACAACTGCCTGCACAAATTAATGATAGGCTGCGGCTGTCATTGATGAGAAGTCAGGTTCCCTCATTTAACAGCAGTGCCTAACCTCACAAATGCCTTAATTGCTGAATTGGCACCCACAGACGCACTCTAAAATTTGGAACATCCCATTCCGAAACCATGGACATTATTATAGTTGGCCCCCTCTACAGCTGTAACAGCTTCCAGTCTGGAAAGCCTTCCCAGGAGACAGGAAGCGGTTATAGCTGTACAGGGGGGCCTGTAGCAAGCGTGCACACAGAGAGGGACGCGGTTTCAACCATTTTGGCTCCAACCTCCATCTTGGCAAAGGATCATCCATCTTGTACAAACATATCTCCCCTCATTCTCCCCCTCCCTCTCTGAGAGTCACAGTGACATTTGGTCGGTGTGTGTTGGAAGTGTCACAGGCAGGCCAGGGCACAGCAGGGAGGTCCAAGCTATAAACCATCTTTGAGCTAGGTGCCAGGCTGGCTGGGAAGCTGAGCAATCTGGCACCTCGTACAAAGATAACCAAAGCCTTCCCCTGAATTCAAAGACATTCCAGACGAGTAAGAAACTAGATAAAACTTTTAAAATCCATTTTTCCCCTATGTCTCATATCTTGGAATATGAGAGACTTACATAAAAACCAGGCATATCTTCAGATTAGCCACGAGAAGACAAACAGTTTGATGTGTCACTCTCCTTGGCTGGAGTACATAGGAAAGCAGAAAATTACATCTCTTGAACCACTCAAGTATGTATTACATATCTCATATCTAACCGTTCCTCAGATGCGTCTGCATATTAATCTACCCGCGGTTGGAATGTTACTTGTGCCTAGGAAAAGTTATGAGCCAAAATATGAAGTACGAGAGATTTTGGTTCTAGTTTGGGTCTCCGCCCAGACAACCCCTCCCCAAATGAGGCATTGGTCCTTGGTTTCAGAGACACCCCCTGCTGGGGGACTACAAAATAGGCTGTCAGGCATAAGAGAAGAGTTGAAGAATTCTCCCATTTAACATCAGAACCAACTTGGGAGACGGCGCCCTTTTGCTCTGAAACTTGATCTGCTTAACCCAAGGCTGATTGGCAAGTACTTTAACCCTTTACCCTCCTTTCTGTTACCTCTTTGCTGTGTTATTGTTCTCTGTATATTTATATATATATTGGTTACATCTTTTCTCTGTAAATATTTTTATTGCACCCTTTTGACCTTTTAGTAATAAATCTTTCTTTCTGAAAGTGTTGAACTGTTTCTATAGCTCGTTAATGCAATTTACGAATTCCTGCCTCTAAAAGAGCGCTACTGTGTTTGTTTAGCCCTCTGTATAACCGGTCTGCGGTGACAGTGCTATACAGATGATTATCTCAACCATCATAGTGTTTTTGCTGATATTGCAGAGTTTCCTCTTTCTCTGTACAAAAAGGAGGTGGTGGCAGTGTGAAGAGTTAATTGCGTAATTAACCTGACCCAGTAACAATTACATTCAGGCTGCCGGTACATCGATTTGTGGTCCATTCGCTGGAAAATCGTTGTGCAGGGTGCAGCTGGGCGTGGCATAGTTTACGCACGTGACATCGCGGCTTCAGATTGGCTAGTCCTTCGGTCACGAGTTTTGGTGAGAAGGTCAGGGGTCTGACGCGCGATCGTCACAGGGCCAACTATAATAATGTCCATGGTTTTGGAAAGGGATGTCCCAAATGGCCAAATAGATGAGATGGTCAGGTGTCCACAGATGTTGACCATACAGTGTATGTGTAAGCCACAGTTCACACGAGTGCAACAATTTCCAGTGTGACTTCCATGCGACTTTGCACTCTATGGCACTCAAGTCACAAGAAAGTCGCATCAAAATAGTGCAGACATCTTTTTTAAAGATGCTGTGACAAAAGTTGCATAGATTTGAACAGGTGCCACTGAAATAAATTAGTTGCAACTTGTCATGCAGCTTTATGTGTCCAAAGTCGCAGGACAAGTCACACTTGTGTAAACTGAGCCTAAACGGTCAGCAGCCATTGAGGACAATGATGTATTACATCTATAGACCATGTATAATGGAGCCTACTCAGCAGTATGATCTTTAATCCAGATACTGGATGTAATTCTAAGAATCCATCTTTTATTTTGTAGCTGTATGTGGTTTCTGGAAAGTATTTACACAAAGCACACCTCCCCATCAGGCTGCTGTGTTTTCTAGTTTCCCGGGACAATCTCTATTTTCATACAGTAAATCATTAACTTGGCCTCATTAGTTTCCAGCTGCCAGTAAGCAACAAAGCTTGCTGTTTTTAAGCACCAATAAGCCTAAACTACAAGCTGTGGCCTATAATAAGAGAATGGATTAACGTTTATATATAATTATTTCAGAAGCTTAGCGAAGTAGAAAAAAGTTTAGATAATTATTTTCGTGGGGAGAGATATTTTGTACTTCCTGTTCAGAAATCCCATGGCAAAAGTCCATGGTAAGGATACTTAAGAGATCTGAAAAAAGCGGAACTTCCATAAAAATATTTTTACCAATGATATGATACCAATCAAAAAAGCTTAGAAAAATAAACTATGGAGGTGGCAGGGAAGTCACTCTACCTCGTGCTCCCTGGGCATTTTAAAACCTTGTGAGAATTTGCTGTAGCCTATTTTGGGAATGCATTTTCATGAGATTTTGCACCTTGTTAAGCTATTTGTGTTTTGAGGATAGGGCTGTTGGTTTATTTATTTATTTATCGAGTTTATATAGCGCCAAAGGGTTTGCTCAGCGCTGTACAATAGAGGGGGGGACAATACATGAAACAGTACAGTAACATCAAACAGCACACAAGGGGTAAGAGGGCCCTACTCTTTCGAGCTTACAATCTAGGAGGGAGGGGGTAGAGGTACAGGAGGAAATGGCTGTGGGGGATGGAGTGGTAGGAGGAGGGAAGGGCAGCTGCTGTTAGGTGAGGGTGGGGTAGGCTTCCCTGAAGAGGTGGGTTTTCAGGGAGCGCCTGAAGGTGAGGAGGGAAGGTGACAGTCTGATGGATTGGGGTAGTGAGTTCCAGAGGATGGGGGAGGACCTGGAGAAGTCTTGCACTCGTGCGTGGGAGGAGGAGACCAGGGAGCAAGATAGAAGGAGAGATCCTGTGAAGAGCGAAGGGTACGGGTAGGGTGGTACCTGGGAATCAGGTTGGTGAGGTAGTTAGGGGCAGTGTTGTGAATGGCC